AACTTTTTACTCAGGCAACGAATCCCTAAGTACCTGACTCCCGAAAACCATTTCCGGCAGTCAAATCCGTGAACCCAGTATTCGGGCTCACAACATCTGTCTCCGTCTCCGTCTCCGTCTCCGTCTCCGCCTCCGTCTCCGTCTCCGTCTCCGTCTCCGTCACCGTCTCCGTCTCCGTCTTCGTCTCCGTCTCCGTCTCCGTCTCCGTCTCCGTCTCCGTCTACGTCTACGTCTACGTCTACGTCTCCGTCTACGTCTACGTCTACGTCTATGTCTACGTCTACGTCTACGTCTACGTCTCCGTCTCCCTCTCCCTCTCCCTCTCCCTCTCCCTCCCCCTCTCCCTCTTTTTCGCCCTCTCTCTCCCTCTCCCTCCCACCCTCTCACTCTCTCTGAGTAAGTACTCCTACACATACCTGTCATCTGCTCTCTACTTTCTGTGATCTTCCCGCCGCTCCCTGCCCTTTGGATATCTGTTGCAGTTCCTCGGTTTCCCCCGTGGCTCTGGCACTTTTTTGGAGCTAACACCGTTGGTCTCCCGTTGCATGGCTACGGGTTTTGGAAGCTTTACTTCGGAGGTGACATTTTCTAACCTCTACTACTTTCTGCGATTCTGGCGGTCTTTTCTCTCCTGGCATCGTCATTCATCGCTCTCATTGGCTGTTTTGGACGTGAAACGTATATATTGAAGACTGGCAAACTCATGCTATTTGGCTATCTGCATAACCTTCGTTGGACAACTGCTACTGGCGTCTGACCTTCCCTGCTTATATCACCAGCATCTTAAGGCTTCTCCGCAATCTACAACAAGGCACAACAATCTACAAGTGATATCTAGTTTGGCTATCCCCTCTACTATTTCGGCTGCTCCGTTTGTTTACATGTGCCCGGAATCCACGCTAGTATTATCATAACCTGCGACTTATCATTTCTCTTAGTCCTAAGTGCAAGTCCGTTTAAAATGCCGGTCAATTGCGGAATTTGTTCTAAATTTGTTGCGAGTGACGATTTACTCAGATTATGCAGCACTCCTACACACGGTTTTCATCCAGCATGTTTGAGAAAGCAACTAGGTGTTGATACGTTATCAGACCTTAGTCCTGTCCCGTGTCTTACTTGTTCTAAATCAGCATTTAGCGCTAAGCAGTTATCGAGTGGTACAATCTCCGTGTCAGCTGCTGGTTCTGCGAATATTGGTGCGCAGCTGTCCTCGCTTAGTATGCTGGTTTCCAACCTTAACGCGAAAATTGATGGAATGGATGCTGCGTTACGTGAAGTGTGATACATTAAAACAAAGTTAGAAGATCTGGACGGACTAAGATCTGACATTCGTGGCTGCCTTAAGAAACTAAATTCTATGGCCGACAAAATAGCTGCGGTAGAAGAATCTAACACAATTGTGGCGCGTGAACAGGAAGCATTAGCCTGCCGCATGGATGCCTTTGAAGTTCATCACGCGGATGATAACAAACATATCCAGGATAGGATCTTATCTCTAGAAACGACACTGTCTGAGCATTCTAGCACTGATTCCGACATACTAAGCATTACTCAACCACTGGCCGCGCGCATCCGCTCACTGGAACTTGAAAAATGCTTGCAGAATCTTACAATTACCGGAAATACTAAATATCAGCGACCGTGATGATGTGCGGTCATTGTTCGCTTTTTTGGGTGTTTCCGTTGACTGTGCGCATATTCTCGAGCTATCACATGTACGCAATTCTACGGATACAGCGAAGCCCAAAATGTTATTTATTAAATTTTCTTCGCCAGCAATCCGTAATGCAGTCCTAAACTCAAAACACCAAAAAGGTATTATTAAAGCTAATGATATCAATATTCTGTTTCCTGACTCGTACGTCGTACCCAGACAAACCGATAATTTTTGGTTTTAGCTGCCTCTCGTGTGGCTCGTAATAATTTATGCAGATCAGACGGCAAATACTCATTTATATACGGGGTGTCCCAAAATTACCTGACCAACGGGGTATGGCGGTGTTCGAGAGGCACCACTGATCACGAAAATAACCTTCCTTTTGTCCGGAAGGTCATAGTTTTTAAATGGGAGCAGGTCAAAGTTGACCAATCAGAGGGAGGCGTCAAGAGAAACGTAGGCACCTACGAACTCTAAGTTTTCTTCCCTCGCTTTTGTTTCTCAGTGGCTTCGGGCATGACGACGTCAGCCGAAGACATGCCTATTGGAAACAAGAAACAAGAAACAAGAAACAAAAGCGAGGGAAGAAAACTCAGAGTTCGTAGGTGCCTACGTTTCTCGTGACGCTATGATTGGTCAACCCTGACCTGCTCCCATTTAAAAACTATGACCTTCCGGACAAAAGGAAGGTTATTTTCGTGATCAGTGGTGCCTCTCGAACACCGCCATACCCCGTTGGTCAGGTAATTTTGGGACACCCCGTATATAAATGAGTATTTGCCGTCTGATCTGCATAAATTATTACGAGCCACACGAGAGGCAGCTAAAACCAAAAATTATCGGTTTGTCTGGGTACGAAACGGCACCGTTAAAGTTAAAGAAGATAATAACTTGCCTGTCATAGAAATTCGTGACACTGTTGAAATTGATCGTATATCATGAAGCTCTGTAGCTCCACCACCGTCGTCTCTGTCGACTCCTGCCACTGACTTTCTAACCGTATGGCATGTAAATGCTCAATCTCTCATAGCTCACTATAATGAATTCCGCAGCTACTTTGGCAAAAGTCAGTACGACATGATCTTAATTTCGGAGTTGTGATTTAAGCCTCGTATCGATGATTGCGTCGTTAGTTTGCCTGGCTATCAGATTCTACGATGTGACCGGACGGTGAAACAAGGTGGTGGAGTCTGCATCTTTGTCCGCGAGCTTTTCTGCGCCAAAATTGTATTATCGTCTACCGCGCTCACTTACTCTCCACGCCCTGAATACCTATTCATAGAAGTCTCCAAAACTAACTCTGCTAGGCTCCTAGTTGGTGTCATTTACAGACCGCCTAAAATAGCCTTTTCCAATCATCTTAAGCATATTTTCTCGACCATTTGCCAATACTACGTATTCAAAATCATCATGGGCGACTGGAATGCCAATCTATCTACCGTTAACTTTGATACTACTTACATCCGCAGACTTTTTCAGACCTACAATCTGTTCTTAGTACCATATAGTGCGACCCATCATACTGCGACCTCTGCCACATGGTTAGATTTATGTGTAACTGATTCTGATGGGAAAACATTAGCCTGGGGTCAATTCCGCTGGATTTTTTGTCAGCCCATCATTTGATATATGTCAAATATAGACTTGAGCAAACACGACCATCCGCATCAACTGTTGTCAGTAAGGTCCTGGCGGGGACTTGAAGCGCCGGAGTTTCAAACCTATCTAGCGAATCTCGACTGGTCTCCCCTACTAACCTTCGATTCCGTGGACAACAAGATAGGCTATTTAAATGACCAACTAACCGTCGTATCGGACAACTTTGCACCATGGCAGGATATTAACATAAAGCGTCCCTCCGCACCGTGGATGATTGGTCAAATCTGAGAACTAATCCGATCTCGCAATAGGTTACGTGCCAGCGCTCGACGTACACGATCTGAGGAGGATCGTGCTGCCTACACACGTCTGCTTAATCAAGTAAAATCCCTCATGACTATGGCTAAAACTAACTACTACGACACACGGCTCGCTCGATTGAAGGATTCTAGACAGGTCTGGCAAGAACTAAGAAGACTCGGTATAGTTCCCTACTTGAAGAAATCCTCTGCAACTGCTTTTATGCCAGAGATATTTAATAACTTCTTCTGCTCAGTATTCAACTCTGCTCCTCCTATGGCTCCTGCTATTTGAAGCAGGTGTGTATTATTTGACCAATCCAGGTTTTACTTTGTACATATAACTTCTGAGACTCTCTCGCAACACATCAGATTCGCTGACTCCCATGTCTCTGGCTCTGACAACTTTCCTGGACGTTTTCTGAAGCATTGCATCTAAAGCGTAATGGACATCTTGACCCCTTCCAGTTTGGATTCGTCGCGGGCGGTTCTACGCTAAATGCTCTCATTAAACTCACGAACGATGTTCGTCAGGCAATAGATGACCGTATGGTCACTGTATTGGTACTTTTTGATCTCTCAAAGGCTTTTGACACGGTGGACCATTCTTGACTCATTAGGAAGTTATCACTTTTAAACTTCTCTGCCTCAGCACTAAAATGGTTTTGGTCATATCTCACTGATCGGAGGCAGGCTGTCTGTACCTCGCTCGGTATCTCAAAATGGTCTGCTGTTACCTCGGGAGTCCCCCAGGGATCAGTCCTGGGCCCTACACTCTTCTCCCTTTACATTAGAGATGTCGACGAAAGAATACGGAATTGCTCCTTTGTTAAATATGCGGATGACCTACAAATATACGCTCATTGCGCACCAACAGCAATTAATGACTGCGTTGCGAAAGTTAATGAGGATATTGACCGTATCTGCGAATGGGCCTTTCAGAAGAAACTGCGACTAAACGCGTTTAAAACTAAGGCGATGATTCTCGGCTCTTCTAGGTACAACAACGCCCTCGAGTTTGGTAATATTGACAGTGTAATTGCTGACGGTTGCGCGATCCCGTTCACGAACTTGGTCAAGAGCTTGGGTATTTTTGTATCCCCGTCACTTGACTGGTACGAGCAGATTACCAACATTTGCAATAGGGCATACAAAACACTGTATCAACTAAAGGTAAATGGACATTCTCTACCTAAAGCAATAAAGCAGAAACTCATTCCTTCTCTGATTCTACCGCTCATCGACTACTGCTCTGTAATAATACTTGACATCACAGTGGAAGAAAACATCAGACTACAACGAGTCTTAAATGCCGGTGCTTGCTTTATTTTGGGTCTTCGTAAATATGATCACATCACACCTAGTCTTCGAGCTTTGAAATGATTGAATGTTGCACAGCGGCGACAGTATTTCTTAGAGATCTTAATACACGGGGCGGTCTCCAATGGCTTGCCATTCTTCATCTCCGACAAATTAACCCTTTGCTCCTCCAGAGATACTACTGCGCCTGTAACAAGATCTCATCCCCTCGAACTTGTCGTTCCTCGCCGTCGCACCTCGACTTATCAAAAATCAGTTATCATATCTGGGATTAGGTTTTGGAATTCCGTACCTAGCAGCATCCGTGACATAGCCACCGTGCCACTATTCAAAAATGCGCTGCATGCTTGACTTCTTAGCGTTTAAACAACGAACATATATATAGCTAGCGTAGCTTATTCGCATTAACGCTATTATTACTATTAATTATATCTTTGTAAATGTGTATTATTTTATTGGCTTATTATTATTATTAATTTTCATGAACATTGTTCTGTATTTTATACTTCCCGGGCAACCTGCCCTAGTATAATAAACTATGGTCTCTCTCTCTCTCTGTCTCTCCCTCTCTGTCTCTCTCTCTCTCTCTCTCTCTCTCTCTCTCTCTCTCTCTCTCTCTCTCTCTCTCTCTTTCTCGCTCTGTATATGTAGTAATATGGCTTGCATGGCTAAGTATAGCTTGTAACAGAAATGTTACGATAAACTCCTCCCCGCCACCTGACTCGAGGGCACCACTGGCCCCGAGCACAATCATTGCGTGTATTATTGTTTATTGCGTATATTCAGCGTTTTAGGTCTCTTGTATTTAGTTTTAAGAATCTTTTCCTCCACGCTTTTCTCCCTATCCCCATCCCCCGTAGGGTACTGGCTCAAAGACCATCTACACAGCTCTTCTTCGAGGACCCAGCACCCAGGAAGGATCGAGAGAGTGGCTGTGTGCCGAGGCAACGGAAGGCAGGGAAGGCTTGGGCAGTGAACCAGCTGATCGGGATCCGTGGGGATGATGCCTGCCAGCCCGCTATCATCACCACGAGTATGCAGACCCGGTGCAGTCCCGTCACACGGGTAGTCAAGAGGTCCGTGTAACAGCGGTGGAGCCCTCTCCCTCCAATTCCGCGGACATTCCCGGGAGGATTTTTGACAAGCCTGGAGGTCGCCATGTTGCCCGGCGCGCGTAGCCAGTCTGCGCGCCGGCAAAGCCAGCGCCGTGCCATCCGCCTGCGAGGCCCTGGAAGGCCTGCCAGCGGAAAGGACCAATGCCCTGCCACACCGGAACTCCATCAAAGACCGGAAATCTGCACGAATTCATCACTTCAAGCCAAATTGCGAGAGATAGCGTGCGTGATTTCGAATTTTGCGTGATATTGAGTGGAGAAGTTTGAGTGCGAGAGTGCCTCTTTTGGGATTATTGTGTCTTGCGGATTATTACATGAGTACGGAGTGATTGAGTTTTTCCTTTGCCCCCCCCCCCCCCTTT